GTCAACATGTTAGGATGATCCAACATAGCCCTACTATTTTCGCGTATGGCTACAGTGACACATCTAATTCGACCTATCGAGGGTTATCCTGTGTGAAACGAAATGCACATTCAAGAGCCGCATTGTGATGATAACTCGTAACGAGTGTTAGGTTTACCACATGAGAAAAATACGACTTGCTCAATTTCAACTGCCAAACTCGTCTCAGAGCACAAAATATAGAGAAAATAATATATCTTGCATGCTGGCTGAATCTCACTACTTAAAGTGTAAGCCAAATAAACGGAAGTGGTGTAGTGGCAAGTGGCGCGCTTACCACGCGAGCGGTCCGGGGATCAAATCCTGGGTCGTGAGTCGCCCGGGCCAACCAAGCCTTCCATCCCTCCGGGGTCGGTTAATTGGTACCAGACTTGTCTAGATAAAAACACTGACTTGTACAGGGTGGTCCAAAATTATGAGGACCGCGTGCGCGCGCGGTCATATCCACTTTTTTCCGAGTCGCTCCATTTTCATCTCCTTTTCTGTGCACTATGTGAGAGGGTACAATGTCTTCTTCCTAATGAAACCAAATTCATGCAGTTCTCAAAACTAGTGAAATAACAACATCACCTTACGTCAGTCCTCAAATTGAACTCACTAGGGCTCTGGCACGTTACATCTAGCGGCAGTCTAACGTATCAGGGAAGCTCTTATGGGCAACAGTTCAACTCTTCAATAAGTTTGGAACCACCACAGATGGAAAATTCGGAGACTCGAAAGTTACAGTTACCACCAGGACAATTATCAGATGCAGAAACTAGCTCTCCCCTTGTCGACTTTCGTACTCCCAAAATGAAAAAATTGATGTGAAAACCCAGCCAGACACTCTAAAGACTCCACATCTGTAGTGGATAGAAAGCCACTTGAGTACCATACTTGGGACTTTTACAGGACCGAGCACCCAAGAATAGAGCAAAAATTCTCTAAAAAGCGATTTTTCGAGTTTGTTGCTCTCGAAGAATTGTTACAATGGAACCCTCCACCTAACAGCTCTAGAATTCTGTATTTTACACCCTGGAGACATGGGTAAATGAATGCCCCACAAAACGTTGATCCCCTGAAGAAAGCAGAGCAGAAGGCCTGGAAACATTTTGACACGCGCCTCAGTTGCGTGCCACCGCACGCGCCACCCCCCTTCGTCTGAAGGCTCGTGTAAACGCGGCAGGTGGCAGATCTCAATTCTATTCTGGAATTACTTTGAGATACTAGTTGCAAACACTTCCCTGTAGTTTGTTTGCTCCATCAAGCTACTATGCGTTTTTAACGACACAATGTCTTGGTCCTCATAATTTTGGACCACCCTGTACATCGGCTGCCCCCCCCCTCCAAGTCATTGTATAGGCCAAATCGCATTTAAAGTGCCACTATGAAAGTCCACAGTGATTCATGTTTTATCACTTTCTTAATGTCCGACTGAATAACTAAGCAGTCGTTTATCAGTAACACTCCTTGCTCTTGCTGTCGCTTGTATGCACTGCATCTGTTATTGAATTCGAAAGCATATTCGAAGTCATTTTTTGATGAGATTTTTTCGCACTTGTCACTCGGGATGTTCCGCAGTAGCTCAATCTCAATAGTCATCTATCTCACAAAAACACGATACCTTAGCTCCCTCTCTTCATGAGTGCAGCAAAGAAGAACATGAGATGGATGGTCTTGCGACGTAAACTGTCACCATCGCCAGCGTGGGAGCAGGCAACCAAGTGCAAGTATGTTGAAAGAATAAACATGACGAAGTTTTTCAGACTGCGGGTCAGCTCTATCGTGTTACTCTTGGAAATTTTTAAGCGACCCCCTCCAAGCTCAATCTGAGTACGACCCCCCCGTTGTTACTCGTAACAACATAGGGTTGACCCTGGTTCCAGTCCAGCTTTCCCAGAAACCTACACATGGCCTGCACCTCCCAGGTCCCGCTCATCGTGGCAAATGCGATCCAACAGGAGAGCATTTCACGAGTTGTTTCCTTGGGATTTGATGCTTTTCGTTTGGTATGTTGTACATGGTGCTCTATGACCACTGCACAACACATTTATATAACGACTGAATATATACAGTTTATCGGAGAGTGACTCCTTATATAATAAAAGGATAAAGGATAAAGCATTTGCCGTTGATCAATCCCTTTTTGGGATGCGGCACGCATTCTACTTCCATTTGTACATTCGCAGTGGCATTTGAATGCGATGTGGCCTATACAATGACTTGCGGGGGCCAGCCGATGTTCAAGTCAGTGTTTTTTTTATCCTCCCAGACAAGTCTGGTACCAGTTAGCCGCTTCCTGGGATGGCAGGCTCGTTGCCCGGTCGACTCCCCTTTCAGCTGGATTCTGACTCCGGACCGCTCCTTGTGGTAAAGCGGGCCTTTTGCCAGCCAACAGATAGACTACTTCCACCCTTTGCCTTTATGAATTCCAATGAAATAATGAAGACTCATACGCTCTCTACTTCATCTATCTCAACATTTTATAGTTGCTGACGCACATAGAAAGGATTAAAGCATTGCCGTTTAACCCAAATAGCGCTCATGGCGTATGGCGCCCGCAAGGTCTTTGCTTCAATAAATTATCAATTAGAATATGAAATTGATCTACATAATGACTTAGGTAAGTACCGATGTACTCTGAGAAAATTCATTGTCAGTATTGGATACCGCTTTCTCAGAGAACGTCGGTACACGTAACTATCACAAACTCCGGAAAGAGAGACTAAAGCGTGCGACCGACCTGGACTGCGTGTAAGATTGAATTTGATCATTAGACCGTGCAGAGTGAGCGCGTCCTTGCTCTTATACACCCTCTATTCGGAAAACGGCCGAAGCCCTTTGCAAGTGTAGACCACAGCCCCGCAGTCCCGGCAGTCAAGTAAAATGAAAAGAAAAAGCCACTTTTCCTTGACTGTCGTAGCATGTGGTGTGTGGTCTGCACTCGACGCTCTTCTCGTTATCCGGGAAAGAGGGTTCATCACTCTTGTCCTGTACAAATCCATGCAGTCGTACCATGTCTGGTCATATTGACTCTTTTCTATGTCGTATCGTTCCAGGACCTGCCATTCAGAGTCATAATTGGATGCACATGGTGAAAGTGAAATGAATGGAGCCTATCGTCTGGGACCAGTGACCGATCCACCACCGACGAATTGTCATCTCAATCACTGGCCCTAAAGTGACTGCTTCCATTCATTCTCATGACAACTGCAAGTGCGATAAGCTCACCTTCGACTCCACTGACCGTCACGGAAGTCATTAACGCCCTCGTGGACGACATCCATGCTCATGCTCTCGCAATTGATGTGAATTGTGGTTTGGTGATGAGGCTGCGGAGTGTTGGAACTATTCGGTCGACAGGAAAACGAAGGCAGTTCCCGTACGGCCACTACAAACATTGAGAATTCATCCCTAATTCAATGGCTTTGAGGCGTCTCCGATCTAACCGTTAATCTTTGTCACAGGAGATGTATAGTCAATAGATTTCACAGCGTTCAGAAATTCCACGGGTAGATCGGACTGTAAATAAAGTGGATTATGGCAGAGGGGCAGAATAAGCGTAAAGTGCAGTCTTACTTTATGCAGCAGTTTCTCGAATGTAACTCGAGGCGTGGCATTTGACAAGACCGTGTTGGCATGGACTTCACTGCCGTTCGAGAGGGTTACTCCCTTGACTGTTCCGTTGTCTGTCAGAATGGACGCCACCTCCTAAGTAGAGAACAATTGGGATAACGTAAAAAAGCGTTAGAGTGGGCGGTGGTATGAGGGTGTCCCAAAAGTCCGTGCCACTTTTTTGGATCTCATGTAGGCTACAAAGAGCACGTTGCGTGGGGTAACTTGCAACCGGATTATGCCCGCCCTAGTGATTTTACGCTTTTATTTATGAATTTCTATTCAGCCGTAAATAGATCGAAGCCAGGAGTAGCAATTACATTGCGATACGTCTACTTGTCTTCGTCCACCATGCGGTATCAGAATGGTCAAATCTGCTTCCCTCAGTAGGCTACGGCCTAGAAGAAAACACGTGCCCAGGAAAGTCATCGGTGTCGGATTTGGACCAGCTGCGCTCTCACTGAAGTCGGTCCGCACGAATCAACCGGCTCCGCGGCCATCACACCATAATGTCTCAGGTACATAGCTTACAAAGGTATTCGCTCCTGTGGAAACGTTTTAGAACTTCTCCAAACAGTTCCTCAGTGATTTGGCCAGTGGTGACAGGAGTGGAAGGCAAGAGCTGTCTGCAATGTTTTTCATGGTCTCCCCGTATGGACTGCCGGGTTGGTGATAAGAAGTGCAGAGCTATGCTAAGCACAGGCAGAAGGGCTAGTGACTGGACTGACTAGGAAGGCCTGAAAAGCTAACAAGTTCAGCGAAGGCTTATTCTGTCCGTCTCGTGGGGTCTTCACTTACAAATTACTGAAAAATCCCCTAGCTCCAACTTTGAAGCTATCAATGATTGCTGTGATCAATGGCGAACGCTCGTGTTGGGACAGCAACTTGCTCTCCTGAAAAAGTATACCTCTTTCACGACAGCTGAGATCACATGCTTCGTTTGCGCAACTCGAAATCCTGAGCTTACTTGAAAGGTCCAACCAAATCCATCAGCGGGAACCAAATAGCCTCCAGACTGCTATCTACTTGTTGATGCCAAAGTCAGTTGCGGACAACGGTACGATTCCATGGCAAGCACCTCACGGAAATGAGCTCTTTTGCCCTTTTTTTGCTAGAAACGCGCTCACTTCTTGGACGCACGGCATTGCTCTGCCGGTCACATGTTGCTAGCTCAAAACCACTTGCTGTTATAATTGCTGAGAGTTACCTTGTTTAAAATATTCAATATCAAAAATATTTGAAAGTGGCACGTTCTTTATGGGATACTCTGATATTTAAGACTTTGAATAAACCGTTGAGGTGTGCGTGAGGCGTGCTACATACAAGAACGTCACTAAAAGCCTTCCCTTCACAACTGAAACTGATTCAATCACATTTTTTGCTCTCTCCAAATGCTTTCAGTAAAAATGCTCATTTGGACATTTCAAAACTTTATCATATTTCACGTACATGGAGACATAGAAGAATCCACGTGAGCTTGGTGGCATGCTTTAGCTTGCTTTAGCTCGAGAGCGATGGCGGATGACTTCATTCTTGTGGACGATAGCTGACAAAAGGGCTTTACTTCTGCTCACTGAGGAACATTTGATGGGATTTCCCCGAAAATACTCGTGAATTCTTGTCTCTACATATCCTGGTTGAAACATCGTTACGAAAGAATGAAAAAAACAAAAATTACTTCGTTTTGGTAGAATGAACAATCCGGAGGCGCGTTCAAAGTACCGCGGACATCGTCAGAAACGAACGCTTCCACTTGTTTTTTTGGAGCGCCGTCACTAGGGACCCTTTTTGACCTTTCAGTTATTCTACTAACATCTCACACTTATACTGCATCCATTCCTATCGATCTTTTGTGTCTATTCTTCAGAATTGCACGCTTCAGCCCGATCTTCATGCGTCGTCCGGGATAAGACGCACTTTTTCCATGCCCGCTTTGGCTCCGTGCGACTTATCCTCGACTGTCCACAGCCATGAGTTCATTTCTCTTCGGAAACTGAATCTTTGTGCGTCAAACTTTGCATGTTGCCTCTAGTTATCAAAACCGACATATTCGTGTTAGGAAAGAAGCAAAATTTTACGGTTGAATCCTTAAAGGCAAATCCCCGGGATTAAACTGGTGCTACAAGCGCCTCGTGGTGATGGGTCGATGGTTGCAGGCCCGTAAGGATTAGCGCCCTAACCGCGCAATTTTTGCGACGAAGCTGGAGTGATCTAGGTAGGTACGGACCTTACAATTTCCCTCGCGGTATCCTTCCTACTAGTCGGGCTAATCCCGGGGTTTGCCTTTAAGGCTTCCATCAGGGGCTGCCCATCGTGCGTTGAAAAGTTTGTTGACGCGCCATGATTAAAAAGTCTTTTCACTCTGCATGCAGTGCTATTTGGCTCAGAGATGCTCATCTAGAGTGTGGAATGAAATAAAGAGGCACAGTTACAATATCGAGGTAACTTTGAAGACTTCAAACGATTTCAAGTCCTAACCTGATCGGTGAACAGCTCGGCGCCATGACTTCTTGCTGCTTTTGCAATCGCTTCAGATACCTGGAAACTTTAGCAGATACGAGATAAAGGTCATGTTGAGCGAGTTCCTGGAAAGTTTATACCGATCAAATAATATGAACTGCACTTACCGCCCCCATCCCTCCCATCACATATCCCCATGTGCCTGATCGATTGTCCAGCCCTCCCAAGACATGATGGAGCAGGACGTAGCTGAACTTGTGATATTAAAGGTATTCTGGCGTGATGAAGTGAACTTCTTCAGAGACCCTGTTCCAACGTCATAAGGACTAGCTGCAAAACCGATCACACCATCGGTGCCCAGGGTCGCCTTTAGCACATCGCTCTCGAACCATTTGTTCATGACCTGAATGAGATCAAAATCACGAGAACATAAGGAATTTTTGATAGGCTCAAAAACAAAGCAAATTTTCGAAATGGAAGTCATGGAAGTCAAACATCGTTGTGGTAGGAATTTGGTAAGAAAAAACCAGGTTCACCTTCAAAAGATCTTTTTTGAAATGGCATGCGCATTTTCGAGATGATTCTTTTACCCTTTAGCAATGCGGTTGCTGCATCACGCTAGTAGAACTGACAAGCGTATGTTGAGGCCCGATTCCGCCCGCAACTGCAACGTGATTTATTTGCAGAAATCAAACTATTTAAAAAAAAAGGTTTGAAGCCATTGTGTCCGTCTTTGCGCAAAGGAGGATTCCGCAATCTGGGAGGGTTGGGTAGGGGAAACCTACCTAGTAGGAAGGACAGGTGCATTTCGCAGAGAAGGATATGTACCGGTGACCTAGCAGGGGCCAACTCGCGCGCCGCTAGGCGCGGCACGACTATCCTCCTCTCGCCGTCTGAGCCTCTAGCCTCTCTGCCAGAGAGAGCGTTAGCGTTGAAATGAAAGCGCTGATGCATCAATGCGCGACAAGAGAAGAAAGAAAAAGACGGTTCCAATTCTCTGGCTTTTGAACCGTTTCTCATGGTTCTTTTCTTCATCCCAGCACCACTGAACACCTCTATTCTGATTTTAGTTGCTTCCAATAGTGATCTCCGCCTTTGAGTTATCCAGAATTATCCACCTTGGCTGGATTCAAATTGGTGAATGGATAAGAACCATATTTTCTTCCCCTGCACTGTTTCGCCATCAAATGCGCGTTCATGTCCCAGAAAATCTCAAAAATGTGGTAGTGCCTTGACGCACGAGTGGCGGGTACACATGTATACCGGCAGTAAGCACAGGATTAACTTTTGGTTAAACCCATCCTACTCCCGGAAGATAATGACGAAACTGGCCTTTCGTGGAAGTCCTTCAAAAAATCTTAGCAGCACGGAAAACAATGTGAAATCATCAAAAAGTTTTCCAGAAAGTTTTTCTTAAGGCAGCTTCCGATTCTTTTCGTTCACTTTTCGGTAGGATTCTCATGGCCCAATTGGACAAATAATATTAGGGTGGTAAAAAAGTCCTGAGCCGTTTGACACTTTTTTGTTCTTTGCTTTTTTATTCCACGTAGAATGGAATCTACCCAACAATATAATCACCATTGCTACCCACTACAGAGTCCCACCTAATGTGCAGTTCAGCGACTTCCTTCTCCCAGAACAGAGCAGACTGAGAGTCAAAGAAATCGCTGACCGCTCTTCCAACTTCTTTACCTTTGGTGAATTCTTTCTTCGCTAGGGATCCCTTAAGGGGATAGAGTAAGTGATAATCAGAGAAGGCAATGTAAGGGGAATAGGGTTGATGGGGAACCGCGTCCCAGATCAGCTCTTCCAATTCTGCACGGGGTCTTTTTTTCAGCCTCGTCCAGGGTCTCTTCCTGCGGTCCCTCGAAAAAAATTTCAATGCCACTACTACTGAGGGATACACGAGCCCTAGTGAAGAACATATGCAGTGGAAATAATAAACGAACTTACCTCAGAAACTCAAAAACAGGGTGGAAAGTCCCTCAAACATGGGTGTTCTTGGGGATTTCCCCAATCCCGCCCCCTTGCCGGCCGTCATTGGACGCGTCGGCAATCGTGCTCGTTTTGGGACCACAGGGAAAATTGATTGAAAAATGGAGCGCGTTTACAGCGGGCACGTTCAGACAACTCGTCCAACGTGCGTCTTTATCCATTGCTGAGCGGCAGAGGGAGAGTACCTGTCTAAGACCCTCCCCGACGTTTTTTTCCAGTTTTTCATACATTAATCGTCTGGTTTTCATCTACAACTTCATTATTGGTGGTTTTTTCCCGCGAAACCGTTCCTGAACTGTTGCTTTAAACTTTGTGGGGCCTGGCGTCATCGTGGAGTAGGTGGACAGAAGTTCGTCTCGGTCGTTTTTCTTGAACAGCGTCCGCTAGTTTCTAGAGCAGACTGGCGTAAATGCTGCCGGTAGCGGTATGTCTTTACGGGAGCATATCATAGTACAGCATTCCTCACGAATCCCAGAGGTAGCAAAGGAGACAGCTTTTGGCTCAGCCGCGTGAATGTGGTGCCGGATTTGCTTGCTGTCGCAGGGCCTCTCCTTCGAAGGGAATAGCCACACCCGCACGCGTGCTTGCGGAGAATGCTAATTTTATTCATATAGGAATTCCCACTTCATCCTACTCATCGCTATATAACCACGCTCATTCAAACCACCGTGATTCGCGCCCTCTTGACGCACACACACACGCACGCACACACCTGGACAAATATGTACGTTAACCTTCCCCCGCCTGTGACCGCGTGCTATCGGTCAAGACATGAGGAATCCATCGAGTCACCACTTTCCTGTGGCGAGGGCGTGGAGGGGACCGAGGACTGTGGGATGGGTGCACCCGAGTCTTATCACAAGGCTGCGGGTGCTAACGTCCGGATCCTCTTCGACAGCGCCGAGAACGGTGGAGTCTTCTACCTTTTGTGGGCTTCCCAACCTTGTCTTTTCTTTGAAAGCCGTGTCTCCTCCCTCGAAGCCTGCGAACCAGAGCTTGGCACTGATGATGGAAGTGGTGACCCTTCCCAATGCGATGCTGATAATGTTGACGGTTCCCACTGCTCCTGTGCCGCAGCGCGATTCATTGAAGATGATCGCTCGAAAGTGTTCTTGTGGAATCACCATCATTATTAAAGTTAAAGAAGGCAACCCGGCAATATATACCTATTGCGGAGAAGTATGA